TATCGTTAAAATAAATGATTTGGAGGGGGAAGGGGTAAGACTTTATTATACAGGATGCGGCAAATAAACGGCCATTAGACAAATCTTGATAACTAAAGGTAACTGAAACATTAAAATTGGAATGAAGGGGTTTTGAAGCTGTTGTAATGATGAACCTATTAAATGAAAATATTTTTTTTCTATTTGCTATTTCCGATTATACGGGAAGTTGCTTATAAATTCGTTTTTTTAATGGGACCCCCATATATTTTTTAATTTTAGAAATATTCACTTTATTCTGAACACTTTATGTTAATACAAATATACTTATCTATACCTATTGTGAACCGTTTTTTAGTTATAATGGTTTTTATAAGAAAATTACACTTTTTTACCATGTAATATAAAGTTTTAATTTCTTAAGAACTTATTAAACACATACAACACTATGGTTTACAGTGTAAAGTTGCCTTTTTCATTGTACAGGTTGCTGTCAAAATTGGTATAAAACCAGCATCCTAAATTTTCGCCCAGTTCTTTTTTTTCAAATAGGGCACCCTGTGTACGATTTATTACTTTAGAAAAAAGAATATTCTGACAAAAACATCAGTTATTGCCAATGTTTAATAGTAACCTTTTTGTATGCCATTGGGTGACAGTTATAATATTAACTTGCCTAATTTTATTGAGAAAATAATAATAGCTCGTTTAGGATATGCAAATGATGATTTTTTAAATTCAATGATACTTTACTGTGAATTTAACAGAATAGTATCCAGAACTTGCCGCATTTTTGCTGAGAGATATCCTGATCCGAGAAGCCTTGACCAAATCATAAAATTGTAAAACATTTGTTGAACAACTGTTTCCAGTTTGGTCAGTTTATAAGTAAAAGGACCCACGTCGATAATGGAGACTTACAAATAGATATTCTGGGATATTTTGTAGCTAATCAAAATTCATCATTGTGTAATGTGAGCAATTGTTACAGGTATCGACTCAAACCATTCTCAGAATTTAAAAAAAAAACATCATTGGACCTTTTATTCGTATACACTAGTTCAACATTTCGTCGTTAGGAATGAAATACCTCCAATGTGCAAATTTCTAGTAATTCAGATTTTAAACGATTCTGAATCGCTATGAATAGTTTTACAGTCTAGAAAAATATCCAATGTGCGTACCGATTCCTAACTTCGCTAATGTATAAAAATGCATTACTCCAATGTAACATATTATTAATTGTTGGACTGAAATAAATCCAATGTGTTTAAAAAACACATTGGAGCTATTATCTATTATAATATCTGCACATTGGAGGTATTTCATACTTTCATCTGTCAAATTCCTATCCTCAAATTTTTTGAAATAAGCTATTTACCAGTGCAAAATGAGTGTTTTCAAGACAAGAACTAAAATAGTTGTACAAAATTCACTTAAAGAAGATCGGCAAAATTCTATCCAAACTTTTGCTCCTATTGAAAATGAAATTTATAATGAAAAATCCAAAAACAGGTATGTAAACAAATTCACTACTACGGTTAGATATCTTTCATCTCATTATTGCTTAAATTAAGTAGGTAATAATTATTTTTCTTATTTCAGTTTGCCTGCAGCTACTATATTGGAACAGGAAAAAGGCAAAATTTGTTTTTTGGCGATTACCAGACGGAATGGCATGTCAGTTAAGAAGCGATGTAACCATATTAGAACGCCAAAATGTTTAAAAGAACACTCATTTAGATGTTCTTTAATTACGCAGGACGATAGACTACGAATTTTTAAAAAAATTTGGACATTTACGTCGTGGGAACATAGAAGCACTTATGTTAAAAATCTTGTTCGGGCAAGAGCAGTGCAAAGGCGCCGAAAAGATACTCAAAATTCAGACAAACGGTCCAAAAAGAAGAGTGATCGTGACTTTTTTTGTTTCTAAAGACGGAAGTTACCTCAAGGTGTGCCGAGTTATGTTTTTGAACACATTAAATTTAGGAGAAGACACAATGAAACGATGGGTCTCAAGGGAGCCAGCCACTCATGAAATTGATACTTCTAGTGAAAGTCTACAAGATTCCAACATTCAACAAGATTACTCCAAGAAAAATGAGACAAATTTGCAAAGAAAATAATGTTATGGAATGGTTGCAAGATATTCCTAAAGTTCCTTCACACATCTACTAGCAGCTATTGTAGAGCATCTACTAGAAGAATATATGTTGACAACAGTATCATAACAACAAATAACATGTACAGACTATATAAAGAATGGTGCGATGATAGAAAGCAGTCAGTTGCTCATATCAAGTTGTTTAAAGTTGTTTTAGAAGCAGAGAAAATTGGCATACATAATAAGCAAAGGAAAGATCAATGTGATACGTGTGTTGCACATAAAATGAAGACAATAAGTACTGAAGATTATGATCAGCACATGTCAAAGCAGAAAGAAGGAAGACGGGCAAAAGAGTTATTAAAAAGTAGCGCAAATTCTGAAAAATTGGTTCTCACAGTTGATATTCAAAGTTTCTTAACGTGTCCAAAAGTATTAGCTTTCCAATCGTATTATAAGCTCAAACTCCAAGTACACAACTTCACCATTTATTCTCTAAATGATGAAGATGTCCAGTTGTACGTTTGGCATGAAGCAAATGGTGGAGTCAGTAGCAATGAATTTACATCTTGTCTTATAGATTATATAAATAATATTCTTGCTAACTATCAAACTCTTGTATTCATCTCAGATGGATGCAACTACCAAAATCGAAAAAGAACTCTGGCTAGTGTTCTGCTAGATTCAGCAAGATCAAAATCCCTTACAATACAGCAGTTATATCTTGAAAAAGGCCATACTATGATGGAAGCAGATTCAGTTCATTTAACTTTGGAACATTACTTTCGAACTCCAATTAATTCACCGATGGATTACATTGCTAGAATGCGTCTTGCTCGGCCAAAACATCCGTATAATATTAAAAACGTAGATTTTACGTTCTTTAAAAAGTACGCTATTGATAGTAACTTTCGTTCAATAAGACCTGGAAAAAAATGCCAAATATCCGCAAGTTGTAGATATAAGACAATTAAAATATAGTCCCAATGGAGAGGTATACTACACCACTGATTACTCAGATAACTGGAAGCTATTACCACACAGAAGACAAAGCCAAGACCTGTCGGTTTATGAAAACTCGCTCTTCAAGACACCTCCTGAAATATCAGAAGACAAGTTCAAACATCTGCAAGACCTCAAATCAGTTATTGAAAAAGATCATCATCACTTTTACGATACTCTTCCTAAAATCAACAAAAAATAATACTTTCGGTGGTGTTCGTAAAAATATCATACACTGATACTACATGTCGAAGTTTGTTTATTTACAATAAAGATAATACAAATCACTTTACTGTTTATATGACTCTTTTTCCCCTAATAACACCAAATTCAAAGGTGTATAGTACTATGACATGCCATACACAATATTTGAAATTCCTGCTATGTACCGGTTCAATCATTTATAATTTCTCCAATGTGCGCGTTTGTAATATTTTTTTTATTAGTTTAATGTTTTGTACTGATTTAAGGAATCAATTTCACCTTAATATCAATATCAATCTTAGTTTGGCCAAAAAAATCAATTACTAATTTAATACAATATAAAATAGCGTTATTTAACTGTTTTTTGTGTCTTCTGTAAAATTAGGATATTTTTACATTGGAGATATTTCATTCCTAACGACGATTTACATCTTTGAAATTATGTAGTAGCCCAGTCTGGTTATGCAAAAATCATCGATTTCACGGCAAAATTTTTCGCAGATATCTGAAGCTTTTAAGACATAGGCATGGTTACTAGATGACGAATAGATGAAAAACTACTCGTATTTTTACCTTGCGTTTTTTTTAACAATAATTTATAGTCACAAGATTATTTGTCTATAAGTTTTTTCCCTTATATTTTACATAAACAATATTTATATCATTTTTTTATGTCAAGAATATCTTTATTTTTCCGTTTTTTAAATTAAAATTGATAAAAATAATTTACGAAGATATTTGCAAAAAAGCAGTTTTTAACCAGACTGGGCTATAAGTCGTGTAGAATTTTGTGAATGGGTTTTAATGAAATGCCAAGATCAAGTTTACAAAAAAAAATTATTTGGTGTAATGAATCGAAGTTTACAAAAAATGGTATGTTTAAGCGCCATAACAGTCACTTCTGGAGTGACGAAAACCCTCAGCTCACGTGAGATAGTAAATTTCAAGCATTCTTTTCGTTCAACGTTTTTTGTGAACTGTGCAAAATAGTAAGATGGTTGCTCTCACTATTTATGACGGATATTTAAACGGAGAGCGCTACTGCAACATTTCACGATAAGTAATTGTACCAGCATTGTACGCTTTACATAATAATAAAGCCAACGAGGCTTCTACAAGATGGAGTACCAGTTCATAATATTCGAGGAGTCGGCACATTGCTTGATGAAATATTTAGCGATAGACGAGTAGCTAATAAGGATCGGTTGCTCGGGTCACCAAGATCCCGTTTTCACCGTTAGATTACTACATTTGGGAATATATTAAAAATAAGATGTTTTTGAACCTGTCACTACTGAGGAAGCAATAATAATTAAAGTCCTTCAAGTTCTTAACGAAAAATCAGTCTCAAGAGCTACTAATGAAAATCTAATTAAAAGAGTTCATAAATGATTGTATGTTGATGGGTAACATTTTGATCATTTATTACATTAATAGGCTAGTGCCTATTTTCTTTGATAACATTTTTTTAATTGTTCAATGTTTAACCTACAATGTGAAAGTTGTAAATTCACACAACATAGTCTATGAAAAAAATTTTTTTGTAACAAAAATATATAAATTTTAAACTGCAAGAGATATTTATAAGGAATACTAATACAGATCTATACTGAAAAATATTTTCTTCTTCTTCAGCCTGTATTCGTCCACTGTTGGACATAGGCCTCTTCTATTTGCTTCCGTTGATTTCTACTCTTGGCAATTCTCATACACTGCTTGTCCGTGACTTTTTTGATATCATCTGGCCACCTCTTCTGTGGTCCGATTACTCCTCGTCTGTTTTCTCCTAGTCTCCAGTTTGTTAATCTGTGTCCATTTTTCGGGATTATCTCGAGCAACATGTCCAACCCATTGCCACTTGAGCCTTGCTGTATGTTCTGTGACATCAATAATCTTTGTTCTTTCACTAATGTCGGTATTTTGAATTCTGTCTCTCAAACTAACCCTAGCATGGCCCTCTTTCGCTCTTTGGGTTGTACTGAGCTGCTCTAAGGTTTTCTTTGTAAAGGCCATGTTCTCCAGTCCATATGTAGTTACAGGCAAGATGCATTTGTCATAAACTCTACGTTTTAGACACATTGGTATATCTTTATTCTTCAAGATAAGGCTTAACTTGCGAAAAGCTACCCAAGACAATTATATGCGTCTTTTTATTTCGGCTATTTGGTTTTCTTTGCCGATTTTAATAGTATGTCTAAGATATATATAGTGGTTTACATTTTCAAGACTGACATTGTCAATAACAATATTAGTTTGTAAATGATTCATTATTATTGTTTCCTGAAGGTTCATTTTAGGACCTATTTTATTTGACTGCTGATTTAATTCCTTGAGCATTTGCTCCAGTTCTTTGATATCTGTACTTCATAATACCATGTCGTCCGCAAACCTCAAATGACTCAAACGTACACCATCAATGTTGAGACATTTTTGCTCACAGTCCAGCTGTTTGAATACATTTTCCAATGCTAAGGTAAAAAGCTTTGGTGAAATAGTATCACCTTGTCTAATACCTTTACGAAGACACTTTTTTTGAGTTTTTTCGTCTTCATTGATGAAATGAAGTGAAAAATATATTTTTCTAAAATAATGAATTACATACAGGGTGTCCCATTTGAAAAAAAGGCAAAAATTTAGGATGCCAATTTTGACAGCACCCTGTATAATTAAAAAGGAACTTTACACTCTAACGATAATGCTGTATGTGGTTAATGCTATAAGTTCCTGAGGATTTCAGACTCTAACGATAATGCTGTAAGTTCCTGAGGAATTTAAACTTTTATTCAAATTACATTAGAGGACACTGAACTTTATACACATGGTAGAAAACTGTAATTTTCATATAAAAACCATTATAACTCAAAAAAGGTTCACAATAGGTATAGGGAGGTATTAACAAAAAATGTTCAGAATAACGTAAATATTTCTAAAATTAAAAAATATACATGGAGTCCCATTAAAAAAACAAAGTTATAAGCAAATAAATGAAACTATTTTCATTAAATAGGTCACTCTTTAAAACCCCTTCTTTTAATTTTCACGATTCAGTTACCTTTAGTTTTCCAGATATTACTAATTGACCCTTTATCTGCCACACCTTGTACAATCTATAAATAAAAAGCAAAAAATCCACATAAACATTTTAATATTCTTACATTTCTAAATCTTAAATTTACATACAAAATATTTTACATTCTTCATTACATAATACCTTATCGTTAAATAAAAGTATCTACTGATAATGTAGTGGTATCAGTATAAAAATAAATAAGAAAATATTTAAATTAAATCAGCAACATTCATCGGCATTTCATCAATTTGGGTCGAATAATATTGTTCAATATCTCTCAGAATTCTGATATCGTCGGATTTCACGAAGTTAATGGCTACACCCTTTCGCCCGAACCTACCAGATCTACCGATACGATGGATGTACAATTCACGATTGTTCGGTAAGTCATAATTGATAACCAAACTGACTTGTTGTACGTCAATACCTCTAGCCCAAACATCAGTCGTGATTAGGACCCTACTCTGTCCGGATCTAAAACAGAAATGTTTAGTATATGGCATTGATTATCAATTTTGTGGTCAATATAATGGTATATTGAGTATAGGAATAAGAAAAACGCATGGAAATCATACAAGTTTGAACAAGAGAGCAACAAGACAAAATATCATACCAAACACATCAATAGAGACCGACCGAATGTGATTTTTTTGGCCGAAGCCGAAGCCGATGCCGAAGTTCGGCCTGAAGGATACCTTCGGCCGAAGCCGAAGCCGAAGGTGACTAAAAATATACTATTACCTATTATATGTTAATAATTTAAATAATGTGCATTATATTTTTATTAACTGATAAGTGATAAACAAAAATATAAAATTATGAGATAAAAAAGTCAAATATTTATACATTATTTGGTAATAGAAGCGATAATAAAAATAAATAACATTAAAAAACATTAAAGCAAGTGAGTATTTATGATTACTGGATCTGGTAGTTAATATTCGAAATCAAACATCCTAATATTATACGTAAGAAAAAGAAGCTTGTCAGCGTTTTCTCCCAACAAATTAGTTCTCTGTCAGCGTATAGTTGCCCAGCAGAGCTGAATAACTGCTCACTAGGTACACTCGTTGGTGGTGCCGATAGAAATTTTTTGGCTGCAGTTTTTAAAGAAATATAGGGACTTGATTCCCAATAATGAAATATGTCGGCACTTCTTAAAAGCAAAGCCTCTCGTAAATACGAATCTAGGTAATCTGCATTGGGATCGTTGTCGTTATGAATTTCTTTTGTTGTATCTAGAACGGCTGTGACAAAAGTATCATGTGAATTCCAAAGACTATTGTTTTCTAGATCTTCTACATGTGTAGTTGTAGATGATGATGTTGAAGCGATAGCCATAGGAACTTTATTTGTATAACTAAACTTAGAGCTATCAGATTCACGTAGAAATTTTAAAATTCTTGCTTTACATGTAATTACTTCCTCGTCTGTCAAATATTTTGATTTAAAGCGAGGATCTAGAAGAGTCGCAATTGACAATTCTGGCAAATTTGTAATATTAGCGAATCTTTTAATTAATGATTCACGAAGTCGTAGCTTTAATAAACTTATCTCCTCAGAGTCCTGCTCTTTCGCAGAAACTTTACCATTTAGCATTTTTATTAGTGGGATAACCAATGATACACAAGCAGAATCGGCTGAAAGATCTAGCGTCGCTTGGTAAAAACAAGTTAAAACTGAAATTAAATTGTTGATCAATTCCCATTCTGTTGAACTGGGAACTTCAATACCACCACGTTCAGCCATATACAAATTTATTGCAACTTTCTGTTCGAATAGCCGCTCCAACATTAGGTAAGTGCTATTCCATCTTGTTTCCACATCCTGAATTAACATATGCTGTGGCAAATTGCAAGTTTGTTGAAACTGCCTCAGGTACCTGCACGCTTGTTCACTCCTTTTAAAATGTCCCACAATTTTACGACATTTTTTAATTGTGTTTTCAATTAATTCCTGTTTTAATAAAGAATCATGAATTACAAGTTGTAATGAGTGAACCACACATCTTAGAGATGTAAATTGTGTAATACGAATAGCCGCGACCATATTTGCTGCGTTATCAGTTACAGCTATATGAATTTTGTTTTCTATTTTAAAATTTTTAATTATTTCATTAAGTTTACTTGCAATAAACATACTAGTGTGGTCATCATTAAGCACACTAGCGCCTAATATAACTTTAAGACGTTTTGAACCATGAACAAAGTGAGCTGTAAAACTCAAAAGAGAACAGGTTTTAGCAGGATTGCTCCAAATATCTGACGTAAAGCTTATCCATTCGGCTTTAGAAACTAAATTTGATACTTTTTTCCAAACTCTGTCATAGGTAGCTGGCATTAAACTAGTTCTAAAAAACTTTTCCGTTTTTTTTTCTGTATTTGGAAGTAACATTAGGATCTCCAAAATTTAAACGCTGAAAAGCTTCTCCTTCAACGATAGAGTATGGTAACATGTCGACAATAATAAGGTCCATGATACCCTTATCAATCCTAGATGATATCGGATGATCATCAGGCCATAGAGCAGGTGACTTAAGTTCCATTATTTGATGTAGGTTGGGCTGAAATGTCCTGGAAACTGGTTGTGTAACATCATGTGGAGTTTTCATATGTTCCAATTTTCGAACTTTTATTCCCATTTCAATGTCACAAAATGATTTCCATTCTTCTGTATGGATTTTTTGTAGATGATTTTTAATGTTTGTAATAGTTTGTTTTTTAGGTATTAAACTGCCAAGCGATAATGACTTTGAACATAGTTTGCATGCAGCTTTGTTGCCACTTTTTTCAAAATAATCCCAAATTGGATTTTTTATTGACATTATCTAAAAACGTTTGAATTTACTAAAATTATATTAAAATAAAAATTACAGACTTACCAAAAGTTATTTTTACAACACTAGAACAAAAACCTGAACTGATTTTGCAACGTAAATTATAATATATATATTTCACGGGTAAATAAGTACTATTAGCAAAGCTGCACCCACGAGAGAATAAACTTAAACTGTTGTAAAATATTTAATATTTGCATTCATAGTCGATGGTCGATGTTTTGCCATTTAGGTATCTATTCAAAACACCAGTAATCGTGAGTTTTAACAAATACAATAAAATTATTATCATAATTTTACTACGTGAGAAATATTCAAATGAAGATCTTTAAGACATCTTGGCCTATTGTTAAAATTTATATCCTACCTACTATTACCTGAACTGAAAGTTTGTAAAACGTTTTAGTTGAGGGTAGAAAATAGTGTGTAAATATTATTCAAATTATCAAAGACTCGCCGAAGCGTATTGTTCAGAGATTATTTCATTTCTATAGTCACCTTCGGCAAAACCTTCGGCTTTGTTTTGGCCGAAGCCGAATTTTGGCCAAAGGTTTAAATATTGGCCGAAGGTGGCCGAAGCCGATGCCGATTAATCGGTCGGTCTCTACACATCAAAACATAGTAAAAGAATCAGTAAGAAAAAAGAAAATTGAAAGAATTTTGGTGAATCACTAAACCTAAATAATAGACAACAAAGTCTGGAACAAAGTAAGAAGTCTGAATATATGAGTGAGGAAGAAACTAACAAACACACAGGAGTCATAGAACAGATAGCAGTAAACGAAAACCTAATGGAAAAATAAGAACTAAAGAATTAGGAATAGCAACCAGTAAAAGAAATGTAGGAAAAGCTAGTGGACCATATAAAATTGATCTTGAAATGATAAAGTGGATAGGGAACATAACGATTGCTGGAAATAATTAAAGAAAATTGGAAAACAAAAAAAAATTAAAAGAATGAGACAACTTACTGATATATGTGAAAATTATAAAAATATATGTCTATCATTAGTAGTATTCAAAAATAATGTGTTTATGACAAAAATATAGTGTGGCTGAAGACCTGGTGAAAAAAGTCTTCAAATAAATACATTCTTCATAAATACATACCTAAACTCTTTCATAATATTGTCACGTTCCTTTTGTGGCATATCTCCATGCATTGAACTAACTGTAAAATTGTTTTCCCTCATTTTCTCTGTCAGCCAGTCCACCTTCCTCTTTGTGTTACAGAAAATAACAGCCTGAGTAATGGTTAATGTATCATAGAGGTCACAGAGGGTGTCAAATTTCCATTCTTCTCTTTCCACAGCCACAAAGAACTGTTTAATACCTTCCAATGTCAATTCATCACTAAAAAGAGAAATAAAAGATATTATATTTGGTGGATAATAACATTGTTTGTAGTGGACAAAATAATAAAATATATCTATCTTGGGATACTTATATTCATCTTAATTTATACATAACACGAAGTTTGTTATAATTATTAACATTTGTTAAAATAAGTATGTTAACGAAAATTGTCATATATCGTCCACGATACACTCACACCGGTATGCCGACACGCAGAGAGAGCGAGTGAATGCAGTCTATTGCTCTCACACTATTGACGCCACGGCAAAGCAAGTTGAACATCAATAATATTGGTTTACGGGAATAATACAATATAATATTCGCTTAAAATAAGATAAAGAAAGCATTTAAATTACTAGTGCTTTATTATTTAAACTAATAAATGTACTGCTAATTTAAATTGTATAAAAGCTACATAAGCAATTCTACTACATATATAAAAATAAATAATGAAATTAATGACTAAACGGGAACTGAAAACACGGTTTCCGTTTGAAGTAAATGTGAAATTGCTTGCGCAAACATTTAGTTTGTAATCTGTTGTGATTAGAAAAAAGAAAACAAATGTCTACCATTATGAATTACAATTTAAAACAATATTACAGGTATTAAAATTTTACAGAGTTAGTTTAAAAAATTTGGAAGTTACAATGAAAAACGCACAATGCATAATTTGCCCTTTACTCAAAGAGATGCTTGTCCTAAACTTATTAAAAAATTAAAAACCTTAACTTGTAAAAAGGTATATTAAAAAATCCCTATAAAAAGGGTTACATCATAACAGAACATTTTCTGAATAATATTCCATCATCAGTGTTATCACCTAAAATAAATCTTACTTATTATCAAACTTGATACTACTTAGGTACTACTTAGATACTAACCTATTTCTTTGACATCTTGCAATTTGTAAATTTTGACATTTTCTTTTCTAGTTTTCTTTTGCAGTTTTCGAAGCTAATTGTTTGGTTAAGATGTCTTAATCTAATATAGATATGTGTTCTGCTTAAACAATAAACTACTTCATAAGGTATAACTTTACTTTCTTCTAATCTCGCCATTGTCCTAGCAGTTAAAATTTAAGTTTAAACAAATTGATATCATTTGATAATGAAGACCCATTCAATGAATGAAATTCTTGATCCATTATTTGGGCAGCACAAAGTAGGTCATCATTAGGATTTAGTAAACCACCTCTTGAAATAAATTGTATCCAATCCGGCATGCCAGTAATGTTCATGTTATCCGCTTTACATCCTAAATTATACTTATGTTGGAATTTATGGGCAACGTATCCTGCTATATATTTTAAAGATTCTTGGTTAATTTTTTCTCCACATTCAAAATGCCGGAGTACCTCTACATTTTCGTTTGAAAAATCGCTTACCGATAATTCAGGATACTGTGGTTCAATAAATGTGTATGGCATTAACATTTCCTCTTCATCTTTTTCTTCTACATTAGTAGAATGTTGCCCTAGACTTCCCAGCATATTTTGTGTTAAACAATCATTATTCTTAATTTCATTATCCTGATGTTCTTCTAGAGGTTTTATCAAACAGTCTTCTCCGTCTTCTTCGGTGTTTAAATTTTCTGTAAATACAGCAGCTGAGTTTTTGCCTAGTATGTACCACCTCAGTCGATACATAAAATCTAGGGGATGCGGATGGTCATTACTGGCCCCCATTCCTCTAATGTAAGAGAAAAAGTTCTCAATTACATCCTGGTTCAGCCGTGATGTTAAAATATAATCTAGTTAATAATTGACATGAAGATAATCATATAATAGCTCCAAAGATCTATTTGTTAGCAATATACCTTTTTGGAATGGAATAAAAGATGTGTGTTTCCCTACGGTCATCGTACCAATTATGTTTGATACGTCTGTCAATAATTGTTTCTGGTTTACCAGATCTGTTCCAAAAGCATTTTTTGTTGGGCAATTTCCAGTTAATTTTGATCGAGAGTTAAGTAGGTCGAACCAATTATTTATCAATAATATAAAATCTGAAACCTTTTTCCAAGGCGCATTCACCGGCATCAAACCATTTTCACCACAATATTCAACTGCTTTAGATACAGATCGTGATAGCAATTGGACTGCAGGTCTAACCTTTTGTCGCTGGGAACCTTTCAATTCAAAATGGTGTTTTGTAATTTTATACGCTATTGACAGTTCCGTTGTAGATATATCAAGCAATTTCACCAAACAAGTTTTGTCAATCAATGTACCGTCTAACCAAAACCCACTGTCCAACAAATGATTCCTTAAAAGTTTCATAAGATATGGTACATCAGCAAAAAAAAATATTTTTAATAAATCATTCCGTGGGTGCTCAATGAAACAATTCTTATTATAGCCGATGTTCATTTTTGACCATAATGACATATTACCCGTGCCCATGTCGCTTACGATACCAACAATTACAAATCCAGCATCATACAGTTTTGAAATTAAATCAATCAAAATATTTTTCGTCATTGGTGTATCAAACTCATAGAAAACAGGTTGTTTCCAATGACCAGTTAACCCTCTTGCTATCACAGTTTGGCAAGTTTTATGTGGGCCTATTTTTCTCTCTTGTTTTTTTTTCGATGTCTATTCTATTAGAAACGTATATTTCGTCGAATGATAATACACATAACTTGTCGACTGTCTGTAAATCTGGTGACAACTTTTCCATCAACGTAATGACATCTGTTAAACATCCTGGAGTTAATGAAAAAGTGGACGCCCAATTTCGCAGCGTAGACATTGCAGGTAAAGGGTATCCACGCGACCTTAGGTACCGATAACCTTTGGGACTGACGCTACGTAAAGAAATTGCGGATGCTATATCTTCTGGTGCCCATCGTTTCTTTTTACTTCCAGACCTTAAAAGGTCTTCAATTTGACCAGGAGTAAAAATTTTTTTTAGCATTGTATTTATATGTTCATATCTTGCATTAACATCCTTTATTTCTTTCAATAAAGTTGTATTTTGAATTTCCAGTAGGGCAACTTTTTCTTTTAGTTTTAAAATTTCATTTTCATGACTAAAATGAATAATATAAATTATAATGAATATACGAGTACATATTAGAGGTAATGGATGTTGACAAGAGCTATGAGCCATGCCAATTCAGTACACAACTTTACGTGTTATTACAACGTCATGGGGCTCTTGTGAAAATCCAGTACCTCTAACATCACGAACAAAAAAAAACATTACCTGTCAATCCCAGGAGTATTTAGGATAACACATGCTTCAGGATTGTTTTCTGGAATGAAAACAATATTTTCTGTTATTGTAACATTGTTTTCTGTTGACATCTCCTCGTTATTTGTACAAATATTACTGTCAAAGGCGTTTTCAACTGATAGAGAGAGACTACTATCTGCATCTTCACTACATCGTCTTCTTTTTGCTAGTCTTGTTGACCTTTCAGAATCATTTTTGGTGGGTTTTTGTATGCTTGGAAGATTTCTTGTAGGTACAGCATCTGGTTTAAGGTTCCTAATACTTGGCGAAATAAAATTTGAAAAATATCTTTGCTTTATCGATATTTCAAAACAATTTTCATCGAAATGTGTTGAACAGATGCAAGCTGTAAAAGATTTACAATATTATATATTATATTTAGGGATACTATAGTATGCGGTCTACCGTTGCGTTTCTACTATAGCTTGCAGTCTATCGAGGGATGCGATGTATGAGTCGCATCCGATGTATTGTATTATATTACAAAATATTTAGCCGGCAAAAAAATCTTTACAAAGTAAATAAAACACTTATAAATCAGAAGAATTACTATTTTAATTTGATCACACCCTCGAGTTAAACCGCATACTACAGTAGCACCTTATATTGTATATTCAAAAATTTTAAATAAACACTTATAAGTATGTAAGTTTATGCAAATACAACTAGTAATGTTCACCTCCTTACATATTTGTAAGCATTATACAAGCATTGATACAAACTTTTCCCCTTTATGCAAATATTTACACACTATTGATATAAAGAGATAGGTAGGTACTTACCATTTTTTAAATTTATTTTATCTTGTTGTCGGCATGCAATCATCCATTTTTTCGAGAGGACTTCGTTTTTTGATGGGAATCGAAAGTAAAATATGTCAGTCCCTTTTGTTTTTCTATTATAATTGCCACATCCAAAAACGGCACACCCAGGCATAATTTATTAACTAATTAAACTATTTAAATTATTATACCTATTATTATATTAAATTACTATATTAAACTATTTTAACTATTTTAACTAACTACTTTAACTAATTTAACTTATTTGGTTATATAATACAAGGAATACAAACGTAAATTTCAAATTAAATCACCGTCGAATTACTATATCTGACCGTTAACAAAAGCGACGAACAGCTGTCTAATGTATTTCGCGCGTTCGTCTTGCTTCGAGTTTAGGATATTGAGCTGGCATACCGGTGTGAGTGTATCGTGATATCATCAAAATTACATAGTATAATTTGCTAACTTTAACATAGAAATATAATTGCAAAAAATAGTACCTGGTTTTCAAGTACTGAAAAGATGATGTTCATAAAAACTCACCGTTTTACCAAAATCCTAATAGGATCTGTCATAAATTTGGAAGTAATTTCCAAAATTTCGTGAGGCAGTGTAGCTGAAATGAGTACAACTTGTGTTGATGGGGGAAGGAATCTATATACATCATAAATTTGTTCTTTGAATCCTTTATTTAACATTTCATCAGCCTCATCCAAAACCAACATTTTTACAGATCTTGTTCTTAGAGCTCTTCTTCTGATCATATCTAAAATAAAAAATTTTAGAATTAGATACAGTATTTTTTAAACATATTTGTATGCTGTTTATATACAGCTTTAGAATATAAAGGTTCAGAAACATGGACTATTTTTAAGACAGATGCACATCATCTATGTATCTTTGAAGGTACTACATGTTATAAGATAATTCGGATGGAATTCCCCAGATTAAGAGACTGGGCCCGATATCAAGCACAAAATGACTGTACTCCCTTAATGCTGTAACAAATAGTCACTCTTATTCTTTCGTTAACAAAATTTCAATTTTGAGTTGTTAACGCTAAATAAAATTTTAAGCATAATTTTGTGTACCTATTTAAATATAATCAGTTAATTGTATTTGTACTTGGAATTCAGAATTACAAATTTCTAGGTATGTAAAGCCAGTGTTTATAAGAGATTAGAAAATTTCTTTATTTATTTATATGAAAGAATTGTGTTGGTAGTTTTTGCGATGGGATCTAACATAAAAGGGTTGATTTAGCTTTGTTTGTCTACTGGGAATATGTAGAGTAATTTTTTCCAATAGTTGAGGACCAAAAATAATAGAGTGCAGTATACTATAAAACATAGAATCCTCTGGTTTTGTTTAAATGCAATAAGTCTTAAGAATTTATGTTGAACTCTCTCAATAGCTTGAATATGGGTGTTATAATGAGGAGACAAAACACATGAACAGTAATCTAGGTGGGGTCTCACAAGTGAGCAATACAAAATTTTTATGGATGCGAAATTTAGAAAGTCTTTAGCACAACATTTGATAAACCCTACAAGGTGAAGTGATTTTAAGACAACAGATGAGATATGGGGGATATAGGATAAGCTGGAATCCAGCACAACACTTTTGTGTCTTTTATCTGAGACCTGGTAAAAAAGAAGGTGGAAGACCATCTGGACATGGCCCCTTGTTACTATCCAAAATGTTGCTTTATCACTATAAATTTTGGAAAAGTATTTAGCAAATAAATTGATAATCTCCATGCCAGATGAGTCAGAAATATTATTATAGCGCACACAGAAGGAATATTATTCCTGTTTTTTTACTGTTAATAAATTTCCAGAGATTTGTAACATCTTTCGGAGAGGATTCTCGGAATTTTATTCAGGTAAAAGGATCATGTTTACTTAATAGCAAATTATCACTAAATGGGCTTCTGTGAGAAGAAAGTTTATTTGAAAAGAATTTCATTTTCCTTTTGTCATTCATTTAGAACAGAAGTCAGTGTAATAACTATAAATATGAGTGATATAGAAATGATTAGTGACAATGTCCTATACATTCCTGCCACTACTTCAGGAAATGAAGATGAGTCTAAATCTGAAAAATGTTCTGGTTATATTCATCTCACACAGGATGCTAAACAAATCGTGCTTAACATTTACAATGATACACTCGTTAAAATGCTCTTTAGTTAACCTTCCTAATATCGGGTGAATTTTAAAATGACCAGTACCAGGTGGGACAACTTCTCACCCAATAGTTTGGTTCACTTTTAAGAGCAAGGATTCTATTTATCTCATTAATCTTACAATTTTTTTAACTCTTTATTCTCTGTATACTTTGTTTAGTACTTTGTTTAATTTCAACAAATTAAAAATTAAAGACAGAATACAGTCACATTCAGAAACTCACCAAATAAACAGATAATTTTTGCAGTTATCAGATATCAGACATACTTAGGACTAATTGCACTTTACAAATTCTTAGAGACAACCCCAACCAGAAATTGATTCGAAGAATTTAGACAAAAATATGCTAATAGAGGAATTACTAAAGTTCCCACTGCATAATAGCAAGAATGGAATTGCAAATATAAAGGAAACACATTATAATCAACTGCTAATATGTAAAGAATGTGATTAGTACAGCAGCTGTACATTAGTACAGTAACCGTTTTCCAAATCTTTCGTCTAAACTGATAAAAACAGATTTGTAGAATGTGGAAACACTCAATACCACATACATTTCCGTGAAATCCAACGAGAATATTTAATTTTCTGTTCGCTGTATTTTGGGTATTACTGCTTCTGTGTTCTTAATACATCAACTACCAATATCCTAAACCGTCTAAGCGGTTGATTAAACTTAATTACAGATATTAATAAAATGTTAGATCTGGGGCGAGAAGTAACACCACCCGATATTAGGAAGGTTAATAATATTTACCGAACAGAAACAGAACTACGAGCAGAATTCCTTAAAAAGTAAAATTACATATGTTTTCTTATATCTTCTTTTAAAAATGGTTAAATCAGAAGAGATCAAAAAGAGGGTTTTTTGACACAAGTGCCACGATCCACTGTGTACGAACTTATAAAAGATGTTCCAGTCTTGTGAAAAAAAAGAAGAAAAGATTCTGGTGCCCATCAAGTATTACCGAATTTTCATTTATCAGCTATATGGGAAACAATATATATCATATGTATTCAGTAAATAACTTACCAATTTTAAATAAACTTTTGAGTGAATTAAGAAACAAAGAAATAATCCCTGGGTGACATAAAACTACTTTTTGGAGGTTTTTAAAATCTAAGTAATGGTTTTATGTTTAAAACAGTGAATAAATGGCGGGCAATTATGGAATCCAGCTGTTTAATAAGGTGGAGGTTTGATTATTTGGAGAGTCTAAGGTCTTTTAGGAGTGAAGGGAAGAACTTGTATTATTTGGATGAAATTTGGTTCAACACCCACGATACAGTTAAAAAATGTTGGACCTATAATAGTAAAAATTGCGTCACCAATGTTCCTCCCTCTAGAGGGAAGAGAATTTGCATTTTACATTGTGGGGGAAAATCAGGATGGGTAGAAGATACTTAATTACTCTCTGCTAAGAGTGTAAGTGATTGTCTCTTAGATTATCATCAAGATATGGACAGTACTTTGTTTGAAAAGTGGTTCAATCAATCAACAAACAGTAAAATTTCATCAGGATAAAAATAAGTGAAAAAACTTACAGATGTAAAGCCTGAGGTATATCCCCTAGAACTAAAAAAATAATATTCAATTTGTTACTGATCTCTAAAATATTATTGTAAAAATATAGTCAAAGCATACAGTGAGGATTATATATTTTATAATAAACAGGGTCTTATCTGATTAGAACCCTTCCCTTGACTAATAACAGCTTAGAAATATACATACCATAAACTCTCCCAGGTGTTCCACTAACCACATGCTGTCCATAATCCAATTTCCTGATATCTTCTCCAAGATTTGTACCTCCAATACAAGCATGACATTGAACATTCATAAAATCACCTAAAGCTAGAATAACTTTTTGAATCTGTACAGCCAATTCTCTAGTAGGAGACAAACATAAAACTTGTGTTTCTCGCATTGTTAAATCTAAAGCTTGTAAAATCGAAATAGAAAAGGTGGCTGTTTTACCAGTACCAGATTGTGCTTGAGCTATTACATCTCTGCCTTTCATAATAGGCTTTATTGCTCTCTGTTGAATGGCTGAGGGTTTTTCAAAGCCTATAAAGAAAAACAAGGTTAGTGAGAGTACACAGTATGACCTACATTCTAGACTTACCATATGCGAAGATACCACGAAGAAGTTCTTCTTTAAGGTTCATGTTTTTAAACTTCTCGATAACTTCGACATCTTCACTAGTTTCAAACTCTACATTTGATAAGTCCTCAAAAACTGAGGCACCTCTTTTTGGAACTGCCATATTTATAAGGTTCTTTGTACCTTAACTTGTATCACAATGCTGGTACAACTTTTAGATTTCGGTAATTGTATTACTTCACTGCTTTGAAAAATGCGATAATTCTGTTATTACTTTAGTTTCAATTATAATCGGATTATGTACATACTTCTTTCTACACACGCCGCACAAAAATCAACTACCTTGATGACAATTGACAATGACATTTGACTTAACATAACAACCCAAGCATCAAAATAGAGATGGAAACAGAAAAATAAGCTCAATTAAAGAATTACAGATGAATTATTTACTTTCATATTATTAGAAATATAAAAAAGAAATTATTAAGAAAGTTGTATTATGTATTAACCATATGTTTTAACTTGTTTTTAAGTTTTAGTAAAACAGAATGCGTAACTTTCTAAAAGTTTTCTTAATGTTTCTAACATATCGATCATAGACCAAACGAACATTCATCTGAAGTGTAATGAAAAAGAAGATAATTATTACTGTGGGACCAAAAAACGTCAAACTGTCAAACATAAAGATAACCTATTTTATATTGAATGAAAACTGAAATTCATCCAATTGTAACTAAATACTAATACTAATTTTATTATAAAAATGAACAGAAAGGAGGCACTATCGACTTTCATTCAACAAATTCATGGTAGACCTGTTGTGGTAAAGCTAAACAGTGGTGTGGATTATAGAGGTATAACACTGTGTTATTATTTATACACTTAATTAGTATCTTATTGAGATCTTTTATTTACAGCTTATCTAAGGGCCAGTTATTGATATTGTACTAGTATGTTCCCATGTGTATCTTTAGAGAGGGAATATGAAGAATCATAATGCAAGTTGTTACAACTTATTCAACTTGAAGGGGCATAATATCCGCACTGTAGTACTCTTAGCTTAACAATTCTTCTTCTTCTTAGCCTTCTGTTGTCCAATTTTGGACATAGGTGTCTTCCAACTCCTTCCAATAATCTCTATCCTGAGCAACATACTTCCAATTTGTTTCTGCTATTCTTTTTATGTTATCTATCCATCTCATCTGTAGTTTTCGTCTTGGTCATCTATCTATCTCAAATGTTGTATTGTGGCGTTCCAATGTTTGTCTTTTCATCTAGCAGTATGATCTGCGAAGCTCCATTTGAGTTTAGCAATTTTTGTTCTGAAGCTTAACAATTAAATTATATAATATACATATATCAAATTATTTCATGTGTTTCTAACTTTTTAGGTGTTCTAGCCTGCTTAGATGGATACATGAACATTGCTTTAGAGCAGACTGAAGAATATGTTAATGGCCAGCTAAAAAATAAATTTGGTGATGCCTTTATCAGAGGAAATAATGTTTTGTATATAAGCACACAGAAAAGGCGGTATTAATTTTAGTTTTAAGTTATATAAGTTACATGTAACCTGCTAAGAATAAAATATTTTGTAAATTTTGTAAAATGTTATTTTTTAATTATTTATATAGTAAGGTATTTATATGATGATTTCCGCTATTTTTTTTTATTCTTTCATTTATTTCTAACTATGTAGGCTGGTTGTGGGAAGTACCTACACATAAATAGATATGAGCCTAACAAAAATTGTTATTTTGTTTGCTTATATCTGTTGTTGATCTTTTTCTTAGGGTGTCTGTCTGTTGCAAATGTTGGTGATCATTCTGGCTATGATGACTTTGTTGGTTGGTATATGAAATAGCTGTGTTGAAGTCTTTCTATACCATGCTCTCAGGTTAGCAAGCCAGGATATTTTTCTTCATCCTGGGACCCTTTTTCCTTTAAAGTTACCCTGCAAAATGCATTGAAGTAGCTCTGATCTGTCTTTGTCTGTCCTTGGTATCTTCAGGATCCTTCTGTATAACCATAGCTCAAAATCCTGAAGTTTTGATAGAGTTTCCGCCTTCAATGTCTGTTTCTACTCCGTACAGAAGCACTGAGTACACATAACATTTAACGATCCCTATTTATTTATTTTAAGGGTAGAACCATTTACAATAAAATACAACAAATAGTAAAAAGTAAAGATCATGTACAATAAACATCAAAATAATAACAAAGAAACAAGTACACAGTTAAAATTTGTACATTAAAACAGTATATCACATTATATATATAATGGCTATACACCCGAGCGTGGGGTTAAACCGCAAATGCTTTCTAGATCCTATTTCTTAAGTGGATCAGTCTTTTTTTGTTTATCTTATCTTCTTGACAATATCTCTCCATTTTTTCCTGTCTCTAGTTTTTCCTCTCCATTCACTGACTCCTGCCCTTTGGAGGTCTTCTTCAACTTCTTGCAGCCACTTTGATCTCGGTCTTCCCCTTGTCTTTCTTCCTCCCGGATTCCATTCTATCATTGCGTATGTCACTGCCTCATCGCCTGCTCGCCAAATGTGACCTAACCATCTAACTCTGCATTGCTTTATTTTAGTTACGATGTCTTCCTTAATTTCTGCATTTGTTCTGCTTCTATATTCATTTTGCTCTGTTCTGATTGGTCCTAGTATGGTTCTCATAATCTTTCTCTCTGCAATTCTTAAGTCTTCTTCATCTTTTTTAACCATCGTCATTGTTTCCCCTGCATATAATAATATTGGTCTAATTATGGTGTTATAAATGCTCATCTTGCTTTTTTTATTCAGTGTTTTGCTTTTAAGTAATCTTTTGTTTGCAAAATAAGCTTTATTCGCTGCTAATATTTTTTCTTTTATTTCGGATTTCCTTTCTCCGGATTTACTTATTGTAACTCCTAGGTATTTTAAGTATTCTACTTCTTCAAACTCGGAACTTCCTATTTTGATTTTTTCCTTTATTGGTTTTTTACCCAATCTTAATATTTTTGTCTTTTCTTGATTTAATCTTAGCCCCATTACCTCCCCTTTCTCTCTTATTTCTTCAAACATTTCTTTCATTATTTTTCTGTTCTTTGCAATAATAGCAATATCATCTGCATATGCAATTATTTGACCACCTCTTGTTCTGAGATTTCCTTTATTTATATTTCGCAGTACATATTGTAATGCTAGATTAAATAGCGTTGTTGATAAGGCATCTCCTTGTTTCATCCCTTTATTTATACTGAATTCCTCTGTCTCTCCTCTTTGTGTCTTTATGCTTATTTTTGTAGTTTTCATTGTCATTTCTATTAATTTTCTGAGTTTATGTGGACTTTTTAATTTTTTAAGTGCTGTCATTAATATGTTCCTTTTAATAGAATCAAATGCCTGTTTGAAGTCTATGAATAACATTTCCAATTTTAATTTATACTCGTTTGCTTTTTCCATTATTTGTTTTATTGTGTGTATTGCATCTATTGTAGATCTTCCTTCTGTGAATCGACATTGGTACTGTCCTACTATCTTCTTTGTGATCTTTGATAACCTCTTTTTTTATTATTGATGTCAATATTTTATATGTCGTATTTAGTAATATTATTCCTCTATAATTTTCACAGATTTGTTGGTCTTCCTTTTTATGTACTGTTATGATCTGTCCTAACTCCCAGTCACCTGACATTTTCTCTTCTTTCCGTATATTTTTCAATAGTGCCAGTATTTTTTCTCTTAGTTCCCTTCCCCCGTATTTTATTAGTTCCATATTAATTCCATCTTTACCTGGGGCTTTTCCATTTTTGCTTCTGGCTTGCACTTTTTTCCTGTTATTTCTCTACATTCTTGGTTATACCATTCATTTTTTGTTTTAGTCTGACTTTTACCTATCTGCATATTTGCACCTTCTTCTATTGATTTTTTGATCATCTCCCATTCTGTGCTTATATCTTCTGCTTTATATTTCTCTTTTATTTGGACTGTTACTGCCTCTTCATATTTTTTTCTTCTTCATTACTCAATTTATTGACATTCCACTTTTTATGTTGGTTTTTTTGTTTTGTTTCAATTTTAACTTTTTGTCTTATAATGGCTATGACCATGTAGTGGTCTGAATCTGCACACGCACCTCTGAACGTTCTTACATCTTTTATTGACGATTGTTTTCGTTTATTAATCATTATGTGATCAATTTGACTATATGTTTTCTGATCCGGTGACCTCCATGTTACCTTATGTATTTTAGGGTGTTTAAATTTTGTCGAGCTTATTAACAAATTTGCTCTTGTTGCTAGGTTACATAGTCTTTGCCCATTGTCATTCGTGTTTTCGTGTATTGTATGCTTTCCTGCAATTTGCTGTAAAAAGTCCTCTTTTCCAATCTGGGCGTTGAGGTCTCCCAGTACAAATATGACATCTTCTTTGGGTATTTTTTCTATCTCCTCTTCGACCTTATCATAAAAGATTTCTTTTTCATCTGCAGTGCTTGTTTCTGTGGGGGCGTATAAATTCAAGACTGATATATTAAATGGTTTGCTGTTGACTCTAACATAGGCCATCCTTTCGCATATTGGCTTGAAATTTATAATTTTCTCTCTTAGGTGACTAAGTATCATGAATCTCACGCCTTTTTGCCCTTGCTTCTTTCCTCCTGAATATAACATTGTAAAGTCTTGTTTATCAATCTGTCCCTGTCCCTCCCAGCGTAATTCTTACAGTGCTGCAATATCTATTTTATACTTTTTGAGTTCCTTTCCTATTTCTAGCATTTTTCCTGGAGTTAGCATAGTTCTTATGTTCCATGTGCTTATTTTCAACTCTTTATTTTTTTTGTTCTGTTGTCTTCGTCCTTTATTTTTGTTTTCTTGTCCATTTTTCTTTATTTCACTTTTGTTGTGCCCGGGTTTATCTGCAGTTATTTCCTGTTTCTTTGCCTCGTCCGTCAACGAATAATGTATCCTCTCATCCCTTGCTAGTTTTTTGAACCACTTCCATGATGGTCCTCCAGCTGGTTGGTGTTTCTATTCTATCTCCTTTCTAGACCATCTATTATAAGTTTGTTGGCTTTAATTTGGACACCTTTACCTTTCTTTATTTCATCTTTTGCTATTCTTCGTATTTCCTTCTGTATTTGTAATTCCTCTGTCGTTAGATCATTGTTTATATATATATTTTCTTTTTTCACTTCTTAAAGTTTACTTTTGTTTTCCATAATTTTTGTTTTTTCTTCTTTGTTTGGCAATCTGACTAAACATGTTTTATCTCCTAGTTTCACTGCTTCATCTATATTTACGGCAATATTTAGCTCTTTTGTCATAAAATTTTCTATCACTTCTTTTAGTATTCTTCTATCTCCAGTTTCTATTGTCATTCCCTATATTATCACATTATTTTCTTTTCTTATTCTATCCAGCCTTTCAAGGCGTCCTTTTGTCTCATTCAGATCCTTTTTGATTTGTTCATTTTCTTTCCAGATTTCACTATTCTCTTGTTTTAGTTCTGCTAGTTCAGTTTTGAGTTCCCTCATTTCTTCTCTGTATTGTTTTTGTTCCGTTTTTACTTCTTTTATATCAGTTTTTAATTCTTGTAACTCTATTGTTAAATTTTTTATCATATTTAGTATTTGATCTATTTTGTTTTCATTTTTGTGACTTTTAATTGGGCTTCTTTGTACTTTTTTACTGGGACCAAATAACAGTTCCTCTTCTTCTCTATTTCTTTTCCGATTGTCATCGGATGTATTATCATCTGAATCCATATTTCTGCTGCTACTACTCGCGATAGCCAACCTCCCCACTCAACGCGTCGATGGAAGATAGTTCTCTCAAGTAGTAGCTTGTAGTAATTTATTTTCTCGTTTTCTTCCTGGATAAATTAATTTTCAATTAAAATAATTGTCAGTTACTTTGGAACGGTTTGATGTGGCAACGCCCACCTCTAGCTTTTAAAACATAATGGCCTGGAATCTTATATGAACGACTTGGTTCATTCCCCCATCACTTTGACCCCAGCGAGTTAATAAAGAGAAATGACAGCCTATCTCTCTCACGAAGACTTTAACCAATCATAAACCAAATAACATAATCAAAATCAAACGAAGCAATGTCAATTCAATTCTGTCAATCCAAATTAATGACAGATCTTCCGTTTGTTTACAAGTTTTCAATTTTATTTTATTATCTTTTACTTTCGTTTGCATTTATTCTTAGTAATTTTAATTTAAATTTGGTTACTTAATTTTTAAAGTTTATTTTGAGTTACCTATTGTAGCAAAGAATTTTTGTGTTGTGCTAGAAACAAAACTAAACATAGTGAATTATTGTATTGTTCGTTGTGTACAAATCATAGAAAAATTACAAAAAGAATGATAGTAAGTTGTCAGAAAGCAAAAAAATAATAGTATTTAACTTCTGCAAATATGTGTAATAAATATTATGTAATTATTTTATAACTGTTTTATCTTAAACAACAAATAAATATACGTATATCTAGAAAAAATTGTGCATCTTATATCCTTATTTTCCAATAAATTTTAATTAGTAACGAAATAGCCCAGAAGAGGCGCTAAAGGGTATGTATGTAAGGGGTGTTCATTCGAATTTGCCGCCAAAA